ACATCGCCTCTCTGAGAGTCTCTGGTCTGGCACAGAGGACGGGGATTGGAAGAGCTACCCCACAGGATGTCCTGGGGCAAAGCAGACAAAAGGTATAAAGCACCTGACACATAGTTAGCACTCAGGAAATGCTTGTTGCCTCTCCTTTCCTGAAGAACAGTGCAGTTATGTTGTTACAGATTTTCAGTTGTAGGGAAGGACCCTTAGAGACCATTGAATCCGCCCTCTTTATTTGTTCCATTTAAATTGTTCTTGATTGCATATGATAGCAAATCAAATAATACAGATGGGCTTATGATGAAAAACACCATTCTTGACTCCACTGAGCCTCCCCCACCTGTATCCCAGCCTCCAAGGCAACCTGTTTTAATCATTTATATTCTTAATTCGCAACTTTAGGCAATACTTGTTGACTCCTGGTTGGAAAGAGATTTTTAGCTCATTTACACCTCTCCCATCTCATCCTCTCATCCTCTCAATATTTGATTATATCACTTACTGCTTCTGTTTTTCCCTCTAGTCAGAGATAATATACTTACACCTCTGTTGCTTCTTTTGGTAACATTATTTGATGTTTTACTCCTTTCCATGAAAGACAAGGAAATTAACACTCCTGACTTCCAACTCCTGACACTTCCACCTCCTCCCTCCTGTCACTACACTTTTACTTTTATATGATCACAGCTGCATTTTGTAACATTGGTATTTTCTTCTGTATCTGTGATTTGTCTTTAAGGGTAGCCTAAAACAAAACTATTAAAATTATTAAACCTGTGCAAATATTGTGCCTTGTTGGACCAAGAGGCATGCTAGGATTTCATTTCCTTCCCGCTGGTTCCAGCATCAGTAATCCAAAAGCTCCTTAAAGTTAAGAATTGGTTACTTTCAGAGTTTTTTTCAAATTAATTAAAGAAATACATGTTCAATGTAGAATTCTAAATACAAGTAGGGAAAAAACAGGGAGGAAGGGAGAGAGGGGTAGGAAAAGAAGACACCCGAATATCCCACTACGTGGAGCATTTCTTAAAAAATGCTTCACATGCTTCATACAGAGGAATCAGTAAAGTTGAAGAGAAAATACTTCCCTTAGTAATAAGGGGAAACATCTAGGCCTATAAAAGAAAACCCAAAGTAGTACAGATTCTCAACTCCCTTATAATAATAATAATGTATCAATTCCCTATATGCCATAGACATTCAGGTTTTTTTCCACATACTTAATGAATATCTACTAAATGCCAGGCACTGTGCTCACTGTTGAGGCTGAAATATGGCCAAAAATGGACATTGTCCCTCCTTCATGAAGGTTACATTCCAGTAGGGGGAGGTAGATATTAATCCAATAGTCACACGCAGTCATATCTAAAACAGATTTGAGTTCAAATGTTGTAAAGGGAAAAAGGACTTGGTTCTTTCAGGACACACACACAGGTATTGGGGCGGGTCAGGGAAGTTTTCCTGGAAGGAAGGATGCTTGCATTGAGATCTGAAAGTATCCCCTTACACAAAGGGAGTGGTAGAAAGGGATGGGTTAGAGGCACTCCCAGGAGAAAGCAAATGTTCTCTGATGGCGCACGGAGAGTGCGTTCCTATCACAAAAGGCGCCACAGCTGGAGCAGAAAGAGCCAGGGCTGTGAGTGGGCAAAATGCACTCTGGGTGCCCTTCACAGGCCAGGAGCTGAAGAGTTCCTGGGCAGAGTGGAAGGCCAAGTGCGGATCCTTTAAGATAGACATTAGACAAGAGGTTGCTCAGCCGTTAGCACTGGCACCGCAGTGGAAGCTTGTTCCCATTCCGTACACAGGCCTTTACGTACTCTCAACTAGATCTTTCTGTCCGTTGCAATGGCCTCAGCTATTGAATGCTGAATAAATACCTTCAACAAAATGTGTTGCCGAGTATGTAGCCACCTCATAATAGAAATGGCCACGTAGCTCACTCTTTGAGGGCTTCCAGCCAAGTACTTCGACACTTCTATTAGGACATCACTGCCTTCTCTCTTTCCTCACCCTCACTGACAAGTGGCATTAAAGGTAGAGAACACACAGGAAGCATGCCAGCAGGAAGCACTACCAAAGAGCCTCTTGTCCTACAGTTTGCAAACTCAGGGTGGGGGGTCAGGTGCAGAGAGGGTAAATGGAATACTTGGATCTCCCCCAAAGAAATCTGAAGGGGAAGCTCGTCGTGTAAAGTGAACAAAGCAGCCTCATTGCCCTTGTAGAGGGCGCAGAGCCTTCATCCCCTTCCTTCATCCCCTTCCTTCATCCCCTAAGTGGCTCCCAAGATCGATTTTATTAACATTAACAAAATAGGAAGTGATAGTTCATACAATGGGCAACTTTTCTAGTAAGAAAATATTTCTAGGAGCAAATGAAATTTTTGGATGAAAAAAGAAACATAACAAAACTTGGCAGTGAGGCTATTATACTAATCTTCTTAGAATAGTTTCATAGTTCTCCCTTGCATTTAAAATAAAATACAGACTTCATACAAGCCTGTGAAGCCTCATCTGATTTGGCCCTCCCTACTGTTAGGGCCTTGGGCTATCCTGTGATTCCCAGCATAGAATCACTATGCTCCAGCTTACTTTCTGCCCCAGGACCTTTGCGCTGGAATGTTCTTCACATCTATAAGGCTAGCTCCCTCACTGCATTCCATTCTTCTTTCAGAGATACCTCCCCTCAAAAAGATTTTCCCTAACTACCTTCTCTCAAGTAGTCCTTTCCTCACGCTCAGATATTCTCTAGACTATTACCCTCTTGTGTTTTTTACTATCTGAAATTTCTGATTTGTTTACTTGTTTTTAATCTGTCTCTATCAACTGGAATGTAAATTCCATAGGGCAAAGATCTAGTGTAACTTGTTCAACATCCTATCTGCAAAGCCTAGAACAATACCTGGTACTCAGTAAATATTTTTTGGATGAATGGATGTAACAGTATCCTAGTACTTGGAGGAGACTCGTGGATAAATAAATTCGTTTATTTATCTCAGAAACATATGAAATAACAAATATTCATTCATTAATAAATAAATGTCATAGGCTCTGGGGATAATAGGCAAAAATAGAGACAGCATCCCTACCCTTAAGGAGCGTATGGTGTCGTGGTGGTCAGTGCGGAGAAATGCGGAGAGAAGCAAGAGATGGGGGACTTACTGGGCATGGGAAAGGAAGAAAGAGAAAATGAGCCCAGGTTTTAGGCTTGGGGAGATGAGGAGATGATTGTACCCTGTGTGAGCATGGGAACCCCAGCTGAGAAGGGGAGAAGAGGTCAGCTTTCAAAATGTGGTGCTATAGAATGTCCACATAGAGATATCCAGCAAGGAGTTGAATATCCAAGTCTGGAGCCTGGGAGAGATGAGGAGCCAAATCCTTGAGAAACACAAACTCCCAAAACTCACACAAGGAAAAAATCAATTACCCGAAGAGCCCTATACCTATTAAAGAGATTTTATTTTGAGTTTTTTTAAAAATTCCAATGAAGAACACTGCAAGTGCACATTGTTTCACTTGTGAGTTCTATCAGACTTTTCAGGAAGAAATACCAATTCTGCACTATCTCTTCCCCAAAACAAAAAAGGGGTAACTCTTCCCAATTTATGTTCCCTAATACAAAATCCAAAGACACTTGAAAATAAAGCTACAAGTCAATGCCTTTCATGAATATAGAGTGAAATCCTCAACAAAATATTAGCAAACAAAACCCAGCACTAAATAAAGGGATAATTCATCACAACCACATGAGGTTTATTCCAAGAATCTAAGGCTGGTTCATCACTCAAAAGTCAATAAATGTAATTAAACATATTAATAAATTAAGGATTCGCCTGAATGATCAGTAAGATGAATTTTCAGATCATATGATGAATCCAAAGATCTAAGATTAGACATAGCATAGACCACAAAGACCGGGTTATTTGATTCATGGGTCAGGGGAGAAACAGCTTAAAGGGGGAAAACTTCCCCCTGGCTAAGAGACTGGGAATTACATTCAGTTACATCAGGCAGGTCCTTCTGAAGGGTTCCTGTGTCCTCTCTTCCTCCTCCTGCAGTCCTCATTTCAAGGACTGATAGGTAGTAAGAAGGAGTTTGGGGTTCCCCTCCTGAGCAGCCGGCCTTCTAGCTTTCCAGGATGGCCATGACCCACGCATGCCTGGGTAGAGAAGGCCAAGGGCACTGCACAATCCTGAGTTTCTCAGATGCTTAGGATCCAAAAGTGTCAGTTGAATGAAGCCTGGATCTCCCCTAATCCAAATCCCTGCAATTTAAAGAAGAGAAGCCAAGCCCCATGGAGGCCTTCCCCTGCCCCTTTATTCTGAAATCCAGTGATCATGAGCTGGTTCTGGGACAGTAAACCTATTACACCATATCTTCTAGTCTGTCCTCCCCCAAGCTTTTCCCTCTTTTTAAGTTTTTTAAAGCTAACTTTTTTGTCTAACAAGTCAACATTGAAACCTGTCTATCCTGGGTCCTGTTCTCTCTTCACTCACTAGTTGCTGTCTGGTGTGGAAAAACCAACCAGACACGGACCTTTACACAGTCATCGTCTGGATTAATGGACTGGAAGATTGGCCCAGCCACCTGCTTTGAGACTACACAGGCCTCACATCAACCAAAGAAACAGAGTCGGGGGCCTATCATCCCTATTTGATTTCTCTGTTGCTCATTCGAAATCTTCAACAAATTCCTTCTAAGATTATAATGAAAGTGTATTGTGTGCTCATTATGTGCAAGGGATTGTGCTATTATGTCATGCATTCTCTCACTGAATCCTCACAACAAGCCATTAAAATAGGTACTATTCTCATCCTCATTTTGCAGATAATAAATAGGCTCAGAGAAGTTAAGCAACTTGCCAGAGATCACACAGCTAGCAAATAGAAGACCCAGGATTTGAACTGAGGTCTTGCTGACTCTAATGCTTAAGTTTTTAGGGATGAAAATTCTTCCTGGTTTAAAATGAACATTGTTTTCTCTTTCTTTCCATGGCTCTGATTGCAGTCTCAAGAAGAAGTCTGTGATTTGCTGCATGCTGCACCCTTCCAAAACATCTTGCCTAGAGTCTACATCAAAGGTAAGAAACCACTAACAGCAGCTAAATGGACAACTTCCTTTTGAACTTCATGCTCACTTAAACCTAATAAACTCAGATCTGCAGTCAGAAAAGGAGAAGGTTAAAGCTTTGGATAGCTATTGACTATTCACAGAATCGTGACATGGAAATGACACTCCAGGCCTTCTAGAACATCCCTAATGTGTTGCTGGCTAGCCTTGGTTTAAGTTTTTATAGTGATGGGGAACTCACCACCCCACAAGGTAGGTGATTCCATGGTTGGACAGAGAAAATAGAACATTTTTCCTGGTAGTGAGTCTTGATCACACTTCCCAGAACCAAGGAGAACAATTCTGCCTGCCCCATCAAGTTTTGGAACACGTACGTAGCCAGGTGCTCTGAGAATTTTACCTTCCCCAGTTGCCCCGGTGTTTCATTTTCTGCTTTGCTGCTGCTTTGCAGAGGGGGAGCGTCTGGAGGTCCGGATGAAACGCCTGGAAGCCAAGTATGCCCCGCTTCACCTGGTCCCTCTGATAGAGCGGCTAGGGACCCCTCAGGTATGATCCTTACGTCAGGGACTCTTGAGAAGCAAAAGAAACTTCAGAGGGAGAACATTTGGTCCAACCTCCTCATTTTACAGGTGGGGAAACTGAGGCCTAGAGAGAAGAAGAGAATGTCTAACACCACAAAGCCCATTTAGCAGCAGAGACAGGTCTAGAATGAGATTTGCTGACACTCAGGCCTGAGTTCCTTCTTCTATACCCTGTATCATCTATCCTGCCAAGAATGAAGGAAGTCAGAAAAGCATCTGTTATGCTCCTAGTAGGTATCAGGAATTCTGCTAAGTTATCTCTCAGAATTAAAACTCCACACACCCTGAGAGCCAGCCAGTTCACTTCTGGGTATCTTTGCTAGAAAGACGTTTATAGAAATGCAAGGCATTTACTGAAACATTGTTTGTTAAAGCAAATGCTGGAACAAGCAGTAAAGAGTTGACTAAATAAAATGTGGTCAAGTCACCTATAAGCTGCATCCTTTCTACATAATAATGAAAAGGAAAACTGAGATCTAGATGCATCCATGTGGATAGATCATAAGCACATGGGTAGGTGAATAAAGCAAGTTGCACTTGATTCATATAGTATCATACCATTCCTGTTTTTTAATGCATACAACAAGACCAGGTAAGTAAGATTTTTCCCCCCAAAATGATTTGCTCCTAGTTCATAATGGTGACAACCTCTGAAGAAAGATGAAAGAGACAAATGGGGGCTGGATATCAAAGAAGACTTCACTTTTACCTGAAATATTCCAATATTTTCAAAAGTGAATGAGCTCGTATGTTAATTCTGTAATTAAAACTGATTTTTACAAACTTGTACCAGTTGCTGTGAACATGGAGATGAGTAAGACAGGACCCCCGCCTTCAGAGAACTCACAGACCATGGAGGGAGGCAGGAAAGAGGAGAAATGGGAAGAGCAACAGAAAGCACGTGCTGTCTCCTTTCAAGCTGATCTGAGCTATCTGCCCACTTTGAGGGGGCCTGGGGAGGAGCACAGGAGGAAGGAAAGCAGAGCGCCCCAGTGAGACACACCAGGGTGGTTTGTTCTGTTCATCAAAGCCCACTGTTGCAAAGGTTTAAGATTCAAATCTGCTCTTTGATTTGCATTCATGTGGTCCCCTCTCCTACTATCACAAAAGCCTAAGGGTCTGAAGGACTCATCCTCAGCAGAGGGCAGAAGGCAGCCTCTTCTCTCAAAAAACATGGCAAGTATTTGGAGCACACTGCAGAGCCTGCTGTGCCCCTGCGTCATGATGAACAACCCCGGCCAGACCCCCTGCATGCCACCCTCCTCCTGTCAACGGTCGCAAAACCTTCAGGGGCATTTGGGTCCTTTGAGTCACCCCAGAGAGAATTCAGATGCTGTGGAGTGCCGACATTTTCCTTTTTGGCCTGCAGGGGCTGAACAGAGGAGATCCTCCAAAGATTTCCTTTTAGGGAGAAATCCCCCAAGCCAGCAATACATAAATGTGTCTGCTCCCCTGCTGGTGTCATCCTACAAGAATCCAGCCTCTCGCACCCAGTGTTTGGCATGTGTTTCTACTTAGAAGACTGAATTCCTTCCCTGTTCTGGTGAACACCATTTCCATGGAACTGATAGAAATCTCAATTTGTCAAATGCTGTGTATTTAACAAACAAAAGCCTAGACATTCTGCTGGAGAAGAAGTGCCAGTTTTCTAAGTCTCCCAGCCCTCAAGGAATAGTTCAAAACTTAGTCATCCCACAGACCAAAGAAAGTTAACAGAATGCTAACTTCCAAGATCGCTGGGGTTCAGGGAACTCACATAGTATCTAGTTCAGTGACATATTCTGCTACAAATTTAAAGTCAGGAGGTTTTAGCAGTATTACATTGTTTTCATTTGTTTCTAGAACACATTGAGGGGACCTGACCTGTTGCTCAGCATTATCATGGAAAGGACACTCTGGCAGGGGAGGTCAAAAGACAGGGACCTTGTCCCAGCTTCACCCATGAATTGTCACCAGTACTAGATACTTAATATCTCAGTTTTATTTTCCATCTGTAAAATGGGCCAATAGCTGTTTGCTACTAGAAAGTTGAGCTGCCTTTCATGATCGTTATGATGAACAAATAAAAAGGACTTCCACAAAACAGAGGTTTATGTAATGAAGGAGTATTGAGAGATTATTCTCCTCCAAAGGATACTACATGTCAGAGTACTACCTGCAGAAATTTATTTTCACATGGTTTCCCAGATGCTTTTTGTGTTCCTTTATTAACTCAGAAAAGAATGGCAGAAAGGGAGAACAATCCCCCACTGAGTAGAATAGAAAAGAAATGGATAAAATTTTTGTTAGACAACATACACACATAATATATATAACACCAAGTCACCATATTGGGGATGTTTGCGGCAGATGATCTTTAATGTCCATTTTCAAAGCAAAAAGAAAATGATAGAACTTTCCGTGCCAATAATGCTCTCGTAAACATGGTGAATATTCCTAAAACCCACAAGACTTTCTGTAAGAGGTGTGGCAAGCACCAACCCCATAAAGTGACACAGTAAGAGAAAGGCAAGGATTCTCCGTATGCCCAGGGAAAGCGGCGTTATAATGGGAGGCAAGTGGCTGTGGTGGGCTGACTAAGCCACATTTCCAGAAAAAAGCTAAAAACTACGAAGAAGTTTGAGCTGAGGCTTGAATGTGTTAAGCCCAACTGCACATCTAAGAAAGTGCTGGCTGTTAAAGAGATGCAAACATTTTCAACTGGGAGGACATAAGAAGAGAAAGGGCCAAGTGATCCAGTTCCAATCTTCCTATTTTGTTTTATTAAGAAGACAATAAAATCTTGAGGTTATGTTCTTTCACTTGAAAAAAAAAGTGATAGATATATCCAAAGAAGAGAGGACATGAGAGAAAACCCACAAATAAAAAATATAGATGCCAACAAACAAAGTGTTTAGCCTTACCAGTGAGCAATGAAATGTAGATTAGAAGAATGGGGTGCAATTTTCATCTCCTAAACTGGCAAAGGACTTTTCTTCATGACTGTAGAGGGCTGGTGAGGCTACCAGGAGCTCCCCTCCCACAGGCAGAGATACAGTAGCTCAGCTTTTCTTGAAGCCAGTTTGCTGCTGTGTAGCAAAAGCCTTTTAAAATATTTACACTCTTCAATGGAATAGTTAAAGGATTTTATCTTAAGAAAATGACCAGAGATAAGCTTAAAAAGTATTAATGCATAAAGGTTGTTGTTTGAGAATTGTCTGTAATGGTGAAAATTTATAAACTATTTAAAATAACCAATAAGAGTAGAAGACTCAATAAGTGATGGTATATCAATGGCCATTTTAGGTGCGCTTGAAAAAATATTGAAGGGAATGGTTTTTTAGGTTGCCGATAACAAGAGAATATAGCAATATAGAAAATATGGTCCAAATTTTGTTAAATATGGATGCATACACACAACTCACATACCTAAACATAAATAAACCATCAGTATTTTAAAAAGCTCACCTCTGGGTAATGAAGTTAGTGGAAGCTTTTTATTCTCTTACTTATAACTTTTTGAAAATTTTTATTCCAGATTTTGCCCAGCAACCATGTAGCGCATTGAACTGTACAGGGTATTTAAAGTAAGAAGTGAAAATCCCTCCCACTTCCTTTTATAGTTCACAGGAAAAAACTGCAAAGGTAAACACTTTTTTGAGAAAAGGGACAGGCGCTCTTAAATCATTTTAGTCAAGGGCCCTTTGGTTGGCTGTAGTAGGCGGGGGGTGGTCACCATAATTCAGAGTCTATCTGCAGATTTATAAACCCCGTTGCTGATTTTTTAGTTTCCACCATAATTGTCAGGCCCTAAGAATTAATTCAGACTGACTAAAGGCACAGAAGATTAATTAGTAAGCCAGAGCTCTCAGTGTTCATTCATGAAGAAAAACGTTCCTTACTTGAGAATGAACCTGGGTCCTTTATACTCCCTGAGAGTCTTCCCTGCACCAGGGCCCTGAAGTGGAAGCCTCTCCAGCATCCACGTGCCAGCTCAGAGCGTTGCCTGGTGAGAAGAGGCTCACGCAGTCCGTTCAGGACTTTTTAAAAGAGATGGATGGTTCTCGTTGACTGTGGCCACCTGAGTGGTCTCCTTTCTGCTCAGGAGCTGTCTGTCTCTGCCTACGGAATCAAATAAGTCAGTGAATCAGGGTCCCCTCTCCTTCATATTTGAAATACACATTGTCGAACTCCTCTTCCCCACTTCACTCTTTTATCCTAGACTTCTTGCAGTTGACAGTTGTCATGACAACTGCACTCATGGCCCCTATTCTGATAGGCTCCGACGTTGCTGTTTCCTGACTCATTTCTCTCCGTGGATTAATTTAGAGGTTGCCCTCTTTCTGGGGTTCCAAGGTGGGAGCTTACAGGGAGAAGCCAGGCAGGCTTCCCACAGGAACCCTGTAAAATGAGTTCTGTGGGGAAGCTTCCCTCTGGGGCACTAACCCCCTGAGTGCCCTGTGGACCTCTCCGTCTCAGAAGTCAGCCCTCTTTAGCTGTGCCCCTGGATTTGGAGGCATTACTTTGACCTTGAATTTTAAAATCTATCTATCTTACTTTGCAGATGACTTCTGAGACCTTGACCCCTAGATGTTTATACTGATAACGTAACAGTACAATGTTTTGGGGTGCTTGTCAAGCCAGCTGATTATAGAGATGCAGTAACCAGGGCCCAGATGAGAAGCCAGTTTAAATTATTAATGGAGGTTGTTTACAGTGGTCAGGGGACTTCTAGTTAGAGGAAGTAATTTTATGAAATTACTGGCAAATTTAGAAGAGTAGCATAGGTTCAATTGTAGCGCATTGAACTGTACAGGGTATTTAAAGTAAGAAGTGAAAATCCCTCCCACTTCTCTAAGCCCATCTGCTCCCACTACTGCTGTGTCCTTTTAAAGTGTTTAACACATACACACACAGTTTTGTTTGTCTGTGGGATTATTTGTTGATATTTTTAATAGGATTGTAGTATACGTCCTTTTCTGCAACTTGCTCTATGTTACCAGCTTTGCCACTCACTGGCTGCCTCTCTGAACCTCAGTTTCTTCGTCTGTTAAAACAGGGATAATAATGACGCCTATTTCATGGGGCAGATGGGAGGAATACATAGCTTATACCAGGGCCTGGCACATTGCCCACACTCCAGGGGTAGGAACTAGTGGCAGTGTCATCTCAGTCTTTTCAGTGACTAGCTAGCATTTCATTAGATGGTCAATCAAAAATTTTTTAATTCAAGTATTCCTCTCTGATGGCTTCTAAGTTTTACTTAACCATAAGTAAGACCACAAAATGTCCCTGCTATTGCACTAAGGTTTATAAAGTTAGTGACCTGTTCCAGTCAGGGTATCAGTTCTTGTGAATGAATTCCAGGCGTGGCCAGGCTTGGGGTTTGGGACTCTCTGGTGAGAGATGGAAGAAGGGGTCCAGTGTGGAGAGAAGGTTTATATACTTCTGTTCCCAGCAAATCGCCATTGCTCGGGAGGGTGACCTGCTGACCAAGGAGCGGCTGTGCTGTGGCCTGTCCATGTTTGAGGTCATCCTGACCCGCATTCGGAGCTACCTGCAGGACCCCATCTGGCGAGGCCCACCACCCACCAATGGTGTCATGCATGTGGATGAGTGCGTGGAATTCCACCGGCTCTGGAGTGCCATGCAGTTTGTCTACTGCATCCCCGTGGGGACCAACGAGTTCACAGCTGAGTGAGTACCCCAGGGAAGACAGTCCCCCACCTGTGAATCACCAGGCTGCCAGAGCTCAGTCCAAACAGTGGGCAGGGATGGGGTTTTCCACCCCATTTATCAGGTGACATAGACTAACACCGATGCTGGACCAGAGTGGATGGCACCCATCTCACGGGTTCATGGGCCTGAGAGGACACAGGATGCACGGACGTCAGGCACAGTATTGAGGTTGCTTGGTAACAAGGGCAGGAAGGATGACAGGTGTCTGAAAAGGGAGACAAGTGAGTTACTGGCATTTAATTCACAGACATTGCCTGGGATTCAGCTTTTAGAGGAGAGAAGGGAACATTCCAGGAAAGGCAACAAGTAGCTGGAGGCAGAGGCGTAGAGTGTGGTCATGAGTGTGGGCTTCAGGGCTCAGGACTTCTCTGGGACTGGTGACTAGGCTGATGGAATGGGCAGGAGGGAGTCTTGATGGGGTTTGGCATTAAGAACCTCACTTCCCACTTCACCCCCAACAAAACTCCAGGGTTTATAGAACAGAGGCAGGCTTCCCTGGCTGAGGTTAGGCCCTGACTTGCTCATGGTAGCCTGTCTCATGAGGCCTGTACTCCTGAAAAATGGGGTCTTTAAGAGTGATCCAGTCCTGTCCTCAGAGAAGGCAGAAGCGGAGTCCAGTTCTTCCTTCACTAACCCAGCCACCTCAGGGTCAGTGGTGAGGAAGCCGACCAGGCCTGCCCTCAGAGCCAGGGGCTCCAGAGAAAATGCAGGACGGCCAGAGGAGGCTTCCAGAGGACGCAGTGTTGGGCCTGGGCTGGGGAGGCTGTTTTCAGATTAGTCACTGGGCCTTGGCTACTGCTGGAAGACCATGAAGAGAGCAGAGAAATGACCCACCCCCCTCCAAATTGGCCAAGTTGCTGTTGAGGGCTAGGGGCATGTAGGCTGTGCTTTACCCGGCCCACGAGGACTCACGGCATGGCCCCCAGCCCTCCACACACACTCGTCCACTCCCCGTGCCCCTCCCCTGCCCTCTCACCCTGCACTGGCCAGGTGGACTCCTGGCTTGAAATGGCCATGCACCTCACAGGTGTTCCTCCGGCTCCTTTATAGAGCCAAGACATATTCGCAGCAGAATTTTAATCAGCCACATAAATCTCAAGGGCTGGTTGGATTTTTTTCTGCAAACTTGTTTTCTTCAAAGGTGATGTTTCTGACGTCGGGGGGGTAACAGACTGATTCCTCTTTGTGATTAGAAGGACTTATAACCACAGTCCCTAGGATGAATGAGCCCATGCTCACACCTCCCCCCTGTACGCATCTCACAGATGAAGAGAACTGACGGAGACGGGCCTGCTCGCTGGCTGTACTCCTGGCCCGAGGTGAGGTCCCCTCCCTCCCCGCCTCTCACCCCAGCTGCTTCCTCTCCCCCATCCCAGGCAGTGCTTCGGGGACGGCTTGAACTGGGCTGGCTGCTCCATTATTGTCTTGCTGGGCCAGCAGCGCCGCTTTGACCTGTTTGACTTCTGTTACCACTTGCTTAAAGTCCAGAGGCAGGACGGGAAGGATGAAATCATTAAGAATGTGGTAAGCAACTCGTGGCTGGGGCCTGGGAGATGGGGCCAGACCTGGCGAGCAAGCTTTCACCTGAGGAGGGTGAACTGCTTACGAAGCTGACCCTCCACACCGCCAGTGGGCAAGGACACTCGGTGGCCGAGGACCTTCTTGTAGAAAACCAGGACTCAATTTGCTCATAACCCACAGGGATGGGTCAGGTCAGCCCACAGGGCAGGGCTGGGCCCCAGTCCTGAAATATACCTTCTCTGGGCCAGTCCAGTGCTGCTGACGCTGGTTCCTCATCACACGAACTAACGCTGCCCACGGAAGTGGTGCAGGTGCAGGGACAGGACAAGTGCTGTTGCGGGTCAGCAGGGCTGTTGCGGGAGCATGGACAAGGCTGTCTAAGCCAGCCGGGGGGCCAGGGAGTGGGCACAGAGAAGGGCTCCCAGTGGAGATGATGTTTGGGCTAAATCCAGAATGACCAGCAGCAAATAGCCAGGCAGAAAATGGGGTGCAGGGTGGGTAGGTGTTCCAGACAGAGGAACAGCTAGAGCAAAGGTACAGAGGCATGAAGACACATGGCTGGAAGGAAAAGGGGTCTCCAGGACCAGCTGAAAGGAAAAAGAGGCAGGATTCACCTCATAAAGGGCTTTTTTTTGCCAGTGTGTTAGAATATCCATACATACAATTTACCATTTTAGCCATCTTATGTGTAGAGTGACATTAGGTACACTCACATTGTTGTGCGGCCATCACCACCATCCATCTCCAGAACTTTTCAGCTTCCCAAATTGAAACTCTACCCATTAAACACTAAGTCCCCATTCTCCCCTCCCTAGGCCTCAGGTAACCCCCCTTCCACTTTCTGTCTTTATGAATTTGACTGCTCTAAGGTAATTCATATAAATGGAATAGTACAGTATTTGTCCTTTTGTGGCTGCCTTATTTCACTTAGTATAATGTGTTCAGGTTTCCCATGTAGCATGTGTCAGAACTTCCTTCCTTTTTAAGGTTGAATAATATGCTATTGCACGTATATCCCGCATTTTGTTCTATCCATTCACCTGATGAGCACTCACCTTTTGGCTGTTGTGCATATTACTGCTATGAGTGTGTGTGTGTGTGTGTGTGTGTGTGTGTGTGTGTGTGTGTGTGTACAAAATGTGTGTTCAAACCCCTGCTGTCATTTCTTTTGGGTATATGCCTAGAAATGGAATTGCTGGATCACCTGGGAATTCTATTTTCAAGTTTTGAGGAACTGCCATACTGTTTTCCACAGTGGCTGCACCGTTTTACATGCCCTCCTGCAATACGCAAGAGTTCCAACATCTCCATATCCTTCCCAGCACTTGTTATTTTCTGGGGGAATTGTTTTGGCAATAGCCATCCTAACGGATATGAAGTGTCTCATTTTGGTTTTGATTCCCATTTCCCTAGTGATTAGTGGTGTTGAGCATCTAGAATGTGGTAAGCAACTCGTGGCTGGGGCCTGGGAGATGGGGCCAGACCTGGCGAGCAAGCTTTCACCTGAGGAGGGTGAACTGCTTACGAAGCTGACCCTCCACACCGCCAGTGGGCAAGGACACTCGGTGGCCGAGGACCTTCTTGTAGGAAACCAGGACTCAATTTGCTCATAACCCACAGGGATGGGTCAGGTCAGCCCACAGGGCAGGGCTGGGCCCCAGTCCTGAAATATACCTTCTCTGGGCCAGTCCAGTGCTGCTGACGCTGGTTCCTCATCACACGAACTAACGCTGCCCACGGAAGTGGTGCAGGTGCAGGGACAGGACAAGTGCTGTTGCGGGTCAGCAGGGCTGTTGCGGGAGCATGGACAAGGCTGTCTAAGCCAGCCGGGGGGCCAGGGAGTGGGCACAGAGAAGGGCTCCCAGTGGAGATGATGTTTGGGCTAAATCCAGAATGACCAGCAGCAAATAGCCAGGCAGAAAATGGGGTGCAGGGTGGGTAGGTGTTCCAGACAGAGGAACAGCTAGAGCAAAGGTACAGAGGCATGAAGACACATGGCTGGAAGGAAAAGGGGTCTCCAGGACCAGCTGAAAGGAAAAAGAGGCAGGATTCACCTCATAAAGGGCTTTTTTTTGCCAGTGTGTTAGAATATCCATACATACAATTTACCATTTTAGCCATCTTATGTGTAGAGTGACATTAGGTACACTCACATTGTTGTGCGGCCATCACCACCATCCATCTCCAGAACTTTTCAGCTTCCCAAATTGAAACTCTACCCATTAAACACTAAGTCCCCATTCTCCCCTCCCTAGGCCTCAGGTAACCCCCCTTCCACTTTCTGTCTTTATGAATTTGACTGCTCTAAGGTAATTCATATAAATGGAATAGTACAGTATTTGTCCTTTTGTGGCTGCCTTATTTCACTTAGTATAATGTGTTCAGGTTTCCCATGTAGCATGTGTCAGAACTTCCTTCCTTTTTAAGGTTGAATAATATGCTATTGCACGTATATCCCGCATTTTGTTCTATCCATTCACCTGATGAGCACTCACCTTTTGGCTGTTGTGCATATTACTGCTATGAGTGTGTGTGTGTGTGTGTGTGTGTGTGTGTGTGTGTGTGTGTGTGTACAAAATGTGTGTTCAAACCCCTGCTGTCATTTCTTTTGGGTATATGCCTAGAAATGGAATTGCTGGATCACCTGGGAATTCTATTTTCAAGTTTTGAGGAACTGCCATACTGTTTTCCACAGTGGCTGCACCGTTTTACATGCCCTCCTGCAATACGCAAGAGTTCCAACATCTCCATATCCTTCCCAGCACTTGTTATTTTCTGGGGGAATTGTTTTGGCAATAGCCATCCTAACGGATATGAAGTGTCTCATTTTGGTTTTGATTCCCATTTCCCTAGTGATTAGTGGTGTTGAGCATCTTTTCATTTGCTTATTGTTTATTTGTTTATCTTCTTTGAAGAAATGTCTATTCAAGTCCTTTTCTCATTCTTTATTTGGGCTGTTTCTTTTTGTTGTTGAATTATGGAAATTCTTTATATATTTTGGATGATAATAATCTCTTATCAGATATATGATTTGCAAACATTTTCTCCCATCCCAGAAGTTGCCGTTTCACTCTGTTGAGAGTGTCCTTTGCTGTGTACAAGTTTTTAATTTTGATACAGTCCAATGTTTTTTTTCTTTTCTTACCTATGCTTTTGGTGTCACATCCAAGAAATCATTGCCAAATTCAATGTCATGAAGCTCTTGATCTATATTTTCTTCTAAGAGTTCTGTAGATATAGCTCTTATGTTTAGGTCTTTGATCCATTTTAAGATAATTTTTTGTATGTGGCATAAGGTAAAGATGCAACTTCATTCTTTTGCATGTGAATATCCAGTTGCCCTGGTACCATTGATGAAAAGACCATCCTTTCTCCTCCACTGAATGGTCTTGACACCCTTGTTGAAAATCATTTGACCACATATGGAAGAGTTTCTTTCTGGGCCCTCAATTCCATTGGTCTGTATTGCTGTCTTCATGCCAGTACCACACTGCTTTGATAACTGTAATTTTATAGTAAGTTTTGAAACTCACAAAGGATTTTATGGCAAAGTTTTGATTGCCAAGCTCTGGGAACCCAAAGAAGGTCTCTAGAGAAGAAAGTGACGAAGCATCGGGACCCTGGACCCTGAACCCTGACCTCGCTGAATTCTTCTCTGCTTGTTTCATCCCTCTATCACCCTTTCCTGCCCCTAACCTGCACAACCCTGTCTCCTTCTGCAGCCCCTGAAGAAGATGGCAGATAGAATTAGGAAGTACCAGATCTTGAACAATGAGGTTTTTGCCATCCTGAACAAGTACATGAAGTCTGTGGAAACAGACAGCTCCACCGTGGAACATGTGCGCTGCTTCCAGCCGCCCATCCATCAGTCCCTGGCCACCACCTGCTAGGCCAGAGGACCTGCAGACCCTCGACTGGGAGAATCAGCAGCAGGAGAGGAAACCATGGCCAGCCTGCACCAGGGCTGACGATCACGTGTGGGATGGACCTAGAAGCAGACCAGAACCTCCCCAAACACATCTCCTCCTCCCAAGGGCTGGGCCAGTGCATGCTCTCCCCTGACATCTCCATGGTGGTTTTTCCATAGTGTAAATGAAAAACAAAACTAAACAAAAAAAGAAACAGGGCACTATGTGCTTTTTTCCCTTTTTTCCCTGAGCCGTGTGAAGAGCCCTAGTTCCACTCTTTTCCATCTCACGGTCCCACCCTACATCCATGGTTGCTTCCCAAGACCTCCTCCCAAGATGACAACACCCTACCCAGTGCCCACATGTGACCTCAGGACTGAAGTCTCAGAGATCAAGTAAAAGAGCATGGCCACACCCTGAGATGGCAGTCTGGCCGGACAGGCGTGCCTACACTTACTGGCTTCTTCACCTCCTCTGGCTCCCTCCCCCCATTTTCCCAGGTGGCAGCATCTCCTCCTGCTCTGGACACCAGGGAGGCTACCACCAAGAGTGCTCCTGAAGCAGGCGCAGGAGCCGGGGTGAACAGAGGGCGAGGTTCCCGATATTAGAGCCGTGGTCAATGGTATTGGGCCTGGCCTTCTGCAGATTCCCCAAACCATACCCTAACCCCCCTCTCAGGGCACTCCCGGAGAAAACTCAGAAATGTACTCACAACCATGTCCCACTGAGTGGAATTGGGGCAGGAAGATGGTCAGGCGCCCTGTGTGGAGGCAGTATTTATGAACACAGCCAGGAATCTCAGAACCCCAAACAGAAGGCAGTTAGACCATGCTGAGATGGCCCCTTTATTCATTAAGCAGACACATGGTGAGCTCCAAGCCTCCCAGGGCAGTGGGCACCAGGAACGCAGTGTTGACCAAGTCAGGCATGTGCCGCCCACAGGCGCTGGCAGCCAAGTTAGGCACCATTTCTTTGCTCAGACTCATCAGGGGAAACTCCTACCAGAAGGAAAATACTAAAAAGGTACTTCAGCAAAAGCCAAAAGCATATATATTAGGGTCAGGGAGGTGAGGCGTACAAATAACCCCCATCAGTGAGCCTTTAATCCCAATATGCGCCCCCAAAAAGGAGTCCTGTTTTAGTGAGCCAGGACTTCCATTGTCTCGGAAGCTGAAAGATGCTTGGGACGTTTTGTCTTTTGCTATCAATTTCATTAATGTTTCTTAACTTAGATTTTGAGGTACAGGGCATATCTCACAAGGGCAGATCTACTTCCTTTTCCCAGGCTGAACCAGACTTCCTTGCAGAATCTCCTTCCATGCGTGGGGAACCTGTTCAGAAGGATGGAAGCCTTGGGAAAGTGAATGTTGATTACAGAGCACCTCCTCAAAGGGAGACTGTGACCTGGAGTTCGTAAGAAAATATAAAGTGAGGCATTTGATATTTCTCTCCCAGCCCAGAGAGGAAAAGAAAAGAGAGAAAATAGAATAATAAGGATCCTGTCCCTCAGGGTAGATGAGTGGGAAGGGTCACCATTAATCAGATGCCCATTCTAACCCCATGGGAAGGGCAACGACGTGTCTGTAGGAAGAAGTTTGTGTGATACACTCTGCTCACCAGGGAGGAGAAAGGTAGGGCCTGCCAAGTGTGGCCCAAAGGCCGCCTCCATTAGGCCCCCTGAGGTTAGCACACTGAGCGCAGTCTCCTGGACCCCCCCTCACACCCACTAACTCAGCATCTCTGGGAGTAATGTCAAGAAATGAGCACTGTCCACAGACTCTGAGTTGTTCTCTTGCTCACACAAGCCTGAGGACCACTGCGGTGGAATCCTCTCTCCTGCTCACCTTGGGCTTTGAGCTCCCACTGAGCCATGAAAGAAAACATTGATCATTAGTAGGGAAGGAAAGTGGGTTAGAGTGGAAGCTCCTGTCTGGAGCTGCCCCTTCCTATTTTGATATCTAAGTTTTTCTCTTGATGACAGCTGATGTGTACCAAAGGCAAAGAGAGGTGAAACAACATGGTAGAACACGCCTTTAGGCTGACATGACACCTCTAAGCTCCAGGCCTTCCAAATTTTCAGTCCTACGTGGGAACAGCAGCTCTTTCAGACACGTGATGAGCTATGAAGTCTTAGAGTTCATTCCAAATCCCTGACCGTTGCTTTTGTGGGGATTTGAATTATCGATATGGTGAGATTGCTTTTGCAGCAACCCTCCCTTCCCACCCTGCATTCATAACCCTGAGTTTGACCCTCTGGGCAGAATCCCATTATTGTCAAGAGACTTGATCCCAGTAAATTGAAGTCTTCACCTTCAGCAGAGACATTTCATATCCCTGGCTTGCCAGCAGCCTTTATTTATGAACACCAAACAGGCTTAATATTCTTTCCTCCTTGATATTACTGCCGCCTCTTTTTTTGTGTGTGTCTAAGAACCAGAAAAAAACATCTTAGGTTTTAAAAAGTTTTAAAAAAATTGTTTCAGAAATTGTCAAATGTACCATATTTGTATTAAGAGTTGTTGGGGAATTTTGTACAATGAATTTACATTTATTTATGGTGACTTATATTTACGCTTGTGATCAAAGAACAATGTTAAATTCTTAAATCATATTTGCTATGCAGCTGAAGACAATATTTTGCTTTGTATTTTGGGTACCTGTGTTAAGTTGATAAACATTTCCATCTCCATTAAAACTGCTTCCAGACTAGTGAAACCAGCATCCTGGTCTCGACTCCTTGTCCTGCTCCAGTGCTTACTGATTTGGGGAAGGCCACATCAAATCCAGTGACTGGGGGAATGACCTGCGAGAGGAGGGAGTCTCCTTACAAACTGATTCACACTAGGCAGGGTAGAGGTGATAGTTTCCGCTCTTAGGGATTTCATAGTCCCACTGAATGTAAGTTCCCAAGATCCTTGTTTTAAGAAGAAGAATGGGAACTAATACATCAGGCCCGAAGTGCATGGGCACCGTGGTAAATCTTGTTCAGCTATTCCTTTGACTCAACCACAATCACTTTAAGTGTTACATCCTACCTTTGACAGAGAGGCTATGCAGTGTGTTTATTTTCACAGTTACTAAGTGACAGCTCTGATCTGAACTGTCTCCAAGACTGGGCTTTTGCTGTCACACTACAATGAACTGATCAGCCAGGCCGGACCCCAAAACTAGACTTAAGGATTTGGTCACCCGACTTTTTTGGACTTGACGGTCATAAGGTTAAGCACAGCCTGACAAGCAGAGGGGCTAGCACAGTGGCAGGAAAGTTCCCAGGCCAAAGGTCCCTGGAAACCTCTCATGCTTATCAGAAAGGATGACACTAGAACTACACTAGGAGGATGTGTTTAAGCAGTGCGCAGAGCCTCACATTTTACACACCACCACATTTCCTTAACACTGTCCACAAAGATGAGTCCTAGGGCATACGTGTCACTCCCACTGCTGTGGCCTTGCACTGCCCTCTAATCTCTCAATGCCTCAGATTCCAAATCTTCATGTTGGACAAAATAATCTGAGGTCCTTTCCAGCTCTGATATCCTGATTTTAGGTAATGTCTCAATGGGGTACTTTGAGGGGCCTGACTACTTCCCAAACTCAAAATCGCCCTCAGTCATGTGTCACCAGCTCCAAGGAGTCTCATCATTAGTCGTTCAAGCTAGTGCACTCTTAATCCCAAGGCTCAGTGAGAAGAGGATGCCATGGTCAAATGAACTGGGGAATGCTTCATACTCTTTCCATCCTTGAAAATCCTTGGTGTTCTGAGTCTGGCAGAACCTAATCAGCCTGGATTAACACTGCATCCCCTGGTGGCCATGACCTTAGAGTCTTTTTCTCTGTGACCCTAATGATCCTCTCATGGAACATGCTTTGAAGAACACTGGGCTAAGGACATGGAAGTCCATGTTAAGATGTAAAAAAAACTCCCAACAGGAGAGGGACCCTGACACGCAGGCAATCATGACACCCAGCCACAATTAGGGAAGCAGGGACCTAGCAAAGGACTGAGGGATTCCAGGTGAAAAGGTGAGGTGTTTCATGATGGGGGAGAGAGGGGTAGTGGAGTATATTCATTTTCTCAGGCTGCCATAACAAAATGCCACAGACCAGCTGGCTTAAATAAGAGAATCTTATTTTCTTACAATTCCAGAGGCTAGAAATCCATGATCAAGGTGTGACGGGGCTCGTTTCTTCTGCGACCTTGCTCCTTGGTTTTTAGATAGTCGTCCTCTCCATGTGTCTTCACAGGGTCTTCCATTTGGGTGTGTCTGTGTCCCAATTTCCTCTTCTTATAAGGCCAACAGTCATATTTGATTAGGAACAATTCATACGACTTCATTTCACCTAAATTACATCATTAAAAACCCAATCTCCAAATATAGTCCCATTCTGAGGTACTGGGGTTGAGAACTTCAACATAGCAGCGGGCACAGATCAGGTCCTAACTCTGGGGAAGAGAAGAGAGAGATCTGGGAAAGAAGCTGTCTCAGGGGGCCCTGGGTGTTGAAGTCTGGGACACCATTACTTTGAAAAACTCTTCTTGAATACTATTTGCAACATCATATAAGATTAAAAATTGGGCATGGCCACAGACCTAAAGGAAGGGATGGGGTTTCAGGAGAGGAAAAATGCATACTGCGTGTTGAGTGTGCTAGAGTGTGAAGATGGGGATTCTAATAATCACTAGCAGTTACTGAATTTTCTCCATGCCAGGCCTCAGAAAAAGCAGTTTTATTAAATGCTTTACTTACTTAAGCCTCACAGCTTATAGAAGGTAGGTACTATTATTTGCTCCCATCTTACAGCTGGAGATAACTGAGGCACAGGTCTCCAAGATGGTAAGGGATGGAGCTAGGAGTCAAAACAATAAGTTGGAATCCGGGTCCAAGCTCTTACCACTAAGCATGTCACAGTATGCTATGTGGCATCTCTGTCCCAAGGGTTCCCAGGGGAATTTGGCAAGATCAGAAGAAAATGTTCTTTCAGCTGAAGCAAGATGGAGAGGATGGGGGCAGTAGCAGAGAGGACTTCATGGAAGAGGTTCTATTTCTGCCTAACTTGAGAAATGAGAATTTGGATGTATGAAGGTGGAGGCACCAAGAGATTGAAGGCAAGTATCTACCAACATCAAGGGCTGGCCAAGAGAGAGCCCTGACTTTCTGCAGTTTTGATTAGGTTAAACATGCTCTTGCCCCAGCACACTTTACCAGGCCCTGAAAGTCACACTCATGTACAATGATTTATTTCCTTAAAAACACTATGCATATCAGACAAGTAGTGATGCTATAGCATCTTACTACACTGATGGACAGTGACTGCAGTGGGCCAGGGGGGGACTTGATAATATGGGTGAATGTAGTAACCACAGTGTTGCTCATGTGAAACCTTCATGAGATTGCTTATCAATGATACCTTAATAATAAAAAACATATCTCTGTCACTCGAAATCTGAAGCTCAGTCCTGTCTCAGTGCAACCTGTAATCCCAAAACATCCAGTCTGTCACTGACACTGTTCCCGCCCCAATGGAACCTTTTTCCTTTTCTGTTGCTCTCATCCTTGAAACAAAAGGCTTTCGCTTCCAAGTGCCACGAAGATCTGCAGGCCGTGGACGCACCCGCTTGGAACTGCCGGGCAGCTTGAGCTGCACAGGCATGTAGGAAACGAAAGGAGGGCAAGCCTGTGATAATGACATCTGAGAACTCTTTCAGCCAGAAATCCAGGAGTATTTTTGTGCCATATCCAGCACATAGTTTGAATTTATTACTAGGAAACATGATTACAACTGTGCTTTCTTTTGGAACAAAAAAGAATTATATACAGTATTTTATGGAACTGTTTATTAAAGATAGAACATCTAATGAAACATCAGATTTCACATTATAGTGACTTTAAGACAGTGGCTAACAAAATGCTGGCAAAGTGAATAGATTTAGTTTAGACAAGGTAAAAGATGCACTAAAAGAGTTAATGAAAATCACAGAAGATCATCAATGAGTGAATTGTGGTCTTGGGGGAATATAAATTTTGAATTTACATAACCATAGTTATTTGGTATAAATTATTACTATTATTTACATTATAAAAATTACAAGGCTTTTAAGAGAATTAAAACATATTTCTACCAATTTTAGAGAAACTGGTTTTCCTAAATGAAAATGTATATGAAATAGGCAACAAAAGTGGCATTCTGATGAAATATAAAGAAATTGAAACTGAAATAGAAATGTTTGCATGACTAAGAAAAAGAAGATTCATATACAGATAATCCCAAATTAACTTGTTAACCAACTATTTTTTTGGCCATTATCACAGGTACAAAACACAGTCTTGATTGAAGGAAGTCAGAACAATGAATCACATACTGCTTTTAGGAAGGTTTCCTTGTAATATACCAGAACTGAAAAATTTGAAAGAACAATTCAAGAATTACTGTAGGCTCTAGATATTGCTTAAGAGACAGTGAAAATTGTGATATAAGGGATATTTATATAATACAATTTATATAGCAAAATGAAAATATAATCTTTTCTGTAATAGCAATAATTATATGGGACCTCATTACAGTAGTTGAATGCAATATGTAAAATGCATGGTTTCATTTCTGAATCTAAGTTTTGCTTTAAAAATCTTATTTGATGGTTCTACCCCTTATCAGAGCAGAATTTCTTCAAACTGAAATTAAGAAACTAAGTGTTACAATGACTCAAGAAAGGTTGTCTAATTTGGCATTACTGATAATAGGACACAAATTCTATGAAAACCTTGATCATAGAAAGTAGATCTTAAGTGTTCTCACCAGACCAAAAAAAAAAGGTTATTATATGATAGATGTATTAGTTAATTTGCTTGTGATGATCATGTCACCATGTATATGTACATCAAAACATCGCATTGTACACCTTAAATACGTAGTTATTTGTCAATTACATCTCAGTAATGCAGGGAGGATGGATCTTGATTATAAAACATAATGATGCTAAGGCAAGGAAAAATGAAATTCATAATGTAAATACAGATTTATGAATTACCTATGTCTTTATTTTATCCATCCAAACCCTCTGGCCCTGCAACAGAACACCCAGAAACATGCAATGGTAAATTCAAGTCATTTTCAGTGTTTTTGCCAACTTTCAGTCATATATGACCCATGACTTTACATATACCTTCTTTTGTGTTATAAAGGAATATATTTTGTTGTCAGGGAGACACAGCATATTACCTAACAGTTTAATGGCATGAATTAGAACTTTTAATTACTTAGAAACATGTGGTCTGTGGCACTTTTGCCCCAGACCCTGCAGAGGGTGGAGGGGTGCTGGCTCTGATGCTGCCTTCAGTTCCCCTAAAGAAAATAAAGCCAGGGAGGTGGGGGGAGAAAGGGACAAAGACATGTTTGCTTCCCTCTAGGGGAGGAGTATAGTAACCAGCCCCCAAAGCCAGTCCCCACATCCCCATCTGGTTTGATTTACTCTGATTTCCTCAGTCTGCTCTTTCTCAGCCTGTTCCCGGGGTCCCCAGATACTGCACTGTCTGGCTAGGCCAGGCTTCCGGCAGAACGGGGAAGGCGGAGGGTTTCCCTGGGAAAATATGCTGTGAGATGCTATCAGAGCTAAAAATATGCAGCCCCTAAACTCCACCTTCATTAGTCAGAATAAAATGCAGGGATTTCTGCCTTCTGGCATTTCAGACCAGCAGGAAAAGGAGGTTGCAAAGAGCCCCT